CCTGAGATGGTATTGAAATTTGAGTGGGACAGACTTAAGGTCAAATCTTGGTTCCCGTGGACTTGATTTAATTTTCCTCAACTTCAGCTTGAACTTGCATATGATTAGTTGGTGGTCTGTCCCACTATCAGCCCCTGGCCTGGTTTTCACTGCTGATCTTATGCTTCTCCACCAAGTCTTTCCACAAATATAATCGATTTGATTCCTATGCATGACATCAAGTGAGATCCGTGTGTATAGCCTGCGTTTATGTTTCTTATAAAAGGTATTTGCAATGAATAAATCATTGAATGTGTGGAACTTGATCATTCTATCTCCAGCCTCATGTCTCTCACTGAGCCCGTATTTTCCAGCTACTGACCCTTCTTCCCTGTTCCCAACTTTTGCATTATGATGTTTATTGCATTATAGACTAATTTGGAAACTTTATTATTTTTCTTGATATTATAGGATTTTATTACTGTTTTTTAAACTGTTACTAATATTGGTTCTACCCTTTTCTCTCTTTGAATTTTCAGGCGTACTGTCCATGGGCTCAGCAAAGAAAAACTAGCGAGGATGTTGGAACTCTATCAATGCTTTGTTTCAGTGTCAATGATCATGCATTCTTCAGTTCCAGACGAAACCCAGTGTATGGAGCTGTGTGCATATTCTTCCGAGGACAATAGTACTAGGTAGGTTAGAACAACTATATAAGAAGAAAAAAAGTCAATTTGTAGTATAATTTAAAAAATTTGAAGCTGGGAATTCACTGCCAGTTTATTTGATTTTTGCCAGTTAAGTTTAAAAATCAGGTAGATCTTTGTTACTTGTAAGGGTTTAGGTGTAGTGCTTTGGGGAGTGAGATGGATATGGTTAGCAAGAGAAGCAAAAGTTTATATGTAAGATTTATGTGTAAGATGATGTAAGTTTTCCTTGGTTATATATGTATGCTATGTTTATATGATAAATGTTCCTGTCTTTAGAAGATTGAGTCTGCTATTGTACTTTTTCATATATCCTCACATGATCTCCTAATTTTTAATTAGTCGTCACCAAACATTTCCCTTTCAAACTAGTATCATAAAAATTCATCATTAATATTAATACAAGTCGTAACCTGGAGGTAGACAATCCAGAATAGTATTGGTTCTGTTAATATTTAGGATAATATACTAAACAAATCAATAAGGATGAGCCTAAAAATACATATTAAAAAACTCTCTGTCTTTTAATAGGAACCCTCCAGTGTATATTGTATAGGAGGGTATTAGCTCATCTTTCTTCTGAGGGGCACTTGATGGATTCAAACGGTCTGCCTTTGGATTGGCAGTGCAAGTCGGTGCTCACTAGGCCCCCAGAGCTCCTTAAAATATATTGGTTCAAAATACTCATATTTTGTGACAGAAAGAGAGTATTTGGCGTGGGGAGGGGAAAATTTACAAATATTCTTTTAGTGAGATATGCTGTTGCTGAGTGGTTAAGAACATGCATTCATAGATTCTTGAACTATTTATTTCATGGGCCCTCATAATAGACAAGTTATAAAATATATATGTATATACATATACACATACACACACATCTATATATGTCAGCCTCTTCATTTATAAAATGGCAATGACAGCACTCATCTTTTTTTTAAATTTTTTAAATTTTATTTTGTTATTTTTGTGTGAGTGTACCATCAAATCAGATCTGACTGGTACAGGAGGAGATTGTCCCTCCTTCCCCGGCAGAGCATCTGGTGGATTCGAACCGTGCGCCTCTGGGATTGTAGTTGCAGCTCCTTGCCACTAGGCCACCAGAGCTCCCCTGACAGCACTCATCTTTTAAAGCTTTTGTAGCGATTATTAATTAATACATGCATTCTCCTCCTGTGTGATTAACTGCCTCTGAAAATCTGCTGGACGGTCAGCTATGGGTCCACAAAACAACAACAACAAGATCTTGGAATAGTTCTTGCCACAGAGATAACTCAATATTAGGTTTGATTTAACTTAGTGAAAGAAAGGGAGGTGAACTAATTATTGAATAAGGAAAAAATCACTATAATTGAGACAGTGGTGTTTCGGCAAAAGTGCTCTGAGTCAGCAAATGATTTTAAAATGGGTTTAAAAAAATTTATTGGGTAATTTAATAGGCTTTGATATGACATTGTATATGAAGTTTAAAAGTTTGTAGCTAATGACAAGTAGTGAGGCAGGGCCTAGTTTTGTGTAAATTAGGCTTTTATATGTCAGACAAAAGTCAGAGACGTGATGTCCTCTCCTGGGAACAGAATTTAGAGACTTGGCTTTCGCATCCACTGTATGATAAACACCAAACTTGGAGATCTCATGTTTTCTATTCAATTTGAAAAATATTGAAGTGCTTTCTGTGTGCCAAGCTTGGTGCTAGGTGCAGTGCCTGTAATGAAAGCAGTTGTTAGGTAGTGTATTAGGGAAAGATCAAGAATAATTCTTGCCATTTTAATATAATTTATTTCTATGATTTTAAAAATAAATAAATGTTGAGTGCCCTGGCTGTTCAATTGAATTTTTTTTTTAATTTAGACGGGAGTATTAATGGGAACATTTAGAGATTTCTCTATGATACTCTTTACAGCTCCAAAGATAATGAAGATACTCCCTCTGCAGAAGAAGGAAGCATCTTATGCTCACCTTTGAAGCACCTACAGTTAAAAGAAGAAAAGAAGCCTGAAGTCACCAGTGAAACGGTTACCCCTGAGAATGCCTCAGCTCTCCTTTGTGTGGATTTAGACAAAAGAAATAAAGGAAAAAAGAAGAAACAAAGTGACGTGAATCAGCATATTCAGGGCGGCTCAGATATGTCTTTTTCAGACTCTGGAAGGAAAATGCAAGTGACAGACAAAAGTAAAAATGAAGAGCAAGTAGAAATGACTTCTGAAAAACAACATAATAAAACTGATGTAGGTAGCTTGGTACAGGGAATAGTGAGTATTTATCAGGATGAAATGGATCCTGCAAGGAGTAAACCATTTGACAATGAGAAACCTTTGCCATGTAAAGTTCCAGAGGAAAGAGTCACAGTGCAGAAAAACCCCTGTGGGAAACAAAATGGAAAATTAGCCCAAAAGTTGCCAACAAATGAGCGATCCAATTATTTTGGTGACTGGCCTGTAGTTACTAAGACTGTTAGTCAGAGGATGATAAAGAACCTAACAAGTTCATCTGATCAAAGTAACAAGATGTATAATTGGTGCCAGTCATTCGAAGCATTAGATGATAGTTTCTCTCTGAATGTGGAATGTACCCAGCAGGAAGAATCACCACAGGATAGTAAAGAAGGTGATAAGTCCCAGGGTGATGATGCTTCAGAATTCTCAAATTGCTGTAGATATGACACTTGGACAAATACGGAAACATTTATATCAAACTCATTCAACGATGTAGGTGACTGGCCTTTATTTGTTTCTTTACCCCAGAGACAACCCAGATCGAGATCGCCAAAGTCTCATTTCAATGAACCTGATGGAATCGGTGACAATATGAGTGAAATGCCTTTATATACCTATTGGAGCACAAGCCCTGAAGAACTAAAAGCATTGGATTGTTCGACACCAAGGGGTTCTGAAATGCTATACAGTGAAATGGGCCTGGGGAATAAGATGTGTCTAAGTGAAAAGAATCATGAACAATGGGCGCTGTGTCTGTCCTCAACCAACAACTTGCCTGTTGTTCCTAGAGTAGTGGAACCACAACTTTTAGAAGACTTTCTAGAAGAAGAAGCTCCAGGAGTCTCTGAAGCAGAAGCAGATATGGGTACCCAAACTGAACCCCAGGATTTTGCTCTCTTGTGGAAAATGGATACAAATACGATTATGGTTTCAGAGTCCATGAAAGTACTAATAGGAAGCATAGATGGACCGGAATCCTTAAACATGAACGCAGAACCAGATGTTCAAGAACCAGTTCCGTGTCGAGTCATGCGTGATAAAAGCACATGTGTTGAGGAAAGTCAGCTTATGGATGCTGATGAATCTGAAAATCTTAATATTCTTTGTAAAATATTTGCATCCATTTCACCGGAAGTCCTCAGTACCTTGTATGAGAGGTGTAATAGAGATATTGTTTGGACCACAAGTCTTTTGCTCGATTCTGAAAATAAGTTATGGGAGGCTATGGTATTTAACAGTTTCCAAATATTGAAGGATGAATCTCAAACTGGGCCATTTTCTCAGGGACTAGATTTGAAGGAAATTATTAGACCAAAAGAGACTTTTGAGGGTTCTAATTCTAGTGTGCATGACTGTAAACATGGAATCAATGTCAGTAACGCAGCAGAAGCACAACCTGCCTGTAACAGAAGAAGGGAAAACTCAGAGCAGGCAGCAATAAAATCTTTGATCCCGAGTGCTGTTGGAGATTGGGAGAACCCTGGACTACTTCCTAACAGCCACGGAGCATTTCCAGATTTATACAGCAGTAAGCTGTCTTTTGCAGGTGTTCTAGATTCTAGTGTCCCTAAGGATGGGAAGGAAATGGAAAAGACTCTAGTAACCGCAGAAGTTGGAGACAGTACACGTTCTTCGAATTTGTTTCGAATTTTAAGTCCTGCATCAGGCACTTCACATCTTGAATTAAATGAAGGCATTTGTTTCACGGACCCTTTTGAACTGGAGAGAAATGACAGTCATTCAGAGGACTCTGCAGAATTTCAGTTATATACAGAAAAAATTAGGCCTGAAGATAACCAGGGAATGGAGACAATTCCAAGGGCAGGAGATAGCTTATCAGCTGTAATTTGTGAAAAAGAAAAGTTGAACCCTTCTCCATCAGTGGCCCAACCTCTGGGCATAAATTGTCTGGAATTGGCATTGCCCCCTGAGGCGGCTTTACAGCTCTGTGAATTATTTGGCTCTGTTGGCATTAATATAGGTAAGAAAATGCAAACTTCCTACTTGCATATTGTGGTTGAATAGAATTTTGCTGATTTGACTCTGTGCTACACGTTCACTTTGAGTCAAAATTGACTGGCTAGGGCTTATTTTTATTACAAAATTATTTCAGGTGTTAATGGAAATGTAAGAGTTATTTACATGTTGTTGTTGTTGTTAGATGCCCTTGAATGGACTCTGACTCACAGTGACCCTGTGTACAGCAGATCAGAACTTTTCCTTGTCTTGTGTCAGTCTCTGGTGTCCTTAAACCCATTGTTATAGTTACCATGTCAGACCCTCTCATTGTGAGTCTTCCTCTCTTCCACTGACTCTGTACTTTTCCAAGGTTTCCTGATAACATGCTCAAAGTATGTGAGATAAAGTTTTGCCTTCCTTCCCTCTGTTGGAGCACCCTGGCTCCAGTTCTTCTAGACAAATTTGTTATTTTTGTAATCCATGGATTCCTCAGTATTCTTTGGCAGCATCATATTTCAGAGGCATGGAATCTTGGGTTTTCCTTATTCATTGTCTCACTTGCAGAACCATGAAGCAATGAAGATACTGGTTTGAGCCAGGCATCCCTTAGTCTTTAATCTGACATCTTTAAGAAGTGTTTGTCATGTAGATTTGCCTAGTGCAATACTACTCTTCATTTCTTGACTGCTGCTTCAATGAATGGTATTTGCAGATCCAAGTAAAAGGAAATCCTTGGCACCTTGAATCTTTCTCCATTTATCATGTTGTTGCCCATTGGTCTTTTTGTGATGATTTTTGTTTCTTTAACTGAGGTGTTATACACACTAATGGCTGTTCTTTGCTTTTCATTAAGTGATTCAAGTCCTCTTCACTTTGCACAGCATGGTTTCCTCATCCTTGGAAGGCATGTTGTTGATGAGTCTTCCTCCAATTTTGATGCCACAGTCCTCTTCTTATAGCCTAGCTTCTAGGATTATTTCCTCAGCACACAGATTGAATAACTTACAGTGAAAGAATACAACCGTGATGTATATATTTATGTATTTTAAATCATGTGGTAGTCCCTTGTTCCATTAAATGCTAGTTTACATATCAGTTTTGCATGAGCTTGATTAAGTGTTCTCAAATTCCTGGTCTTCTCAATATTATCCATAATTTATTATGACCTACATACTCAGATGCCTTTGCATAGTCAGCAAAGCACAAGTAAACATCCTTCTGATGTCCTCTGATTCAAGCTAAGATCCATCTGAATGCAGCAATAATATCCCTTGTTCATGGTTTCTTCTGAATCCACCTCGAGTTTTTGGCAGGTCTGTATCTGTGTCTGAATAATCTTCAGCAGGATTTTACTTGCATGTGTTACTGATGGTATTTGATGATTTCCACATTCCGTTAGATCACTTTTAAAAACAATTATTACAAATATGAATCTCTTCCAGTAGGCTTGCTAGGTGGTTGTCTTCTAAATGTCTTGGTACAGACTAGAAAGTTTCATTAAGAGGGCTGCATCTGTTTCATGAAGCACCTAAATATTCTGTCAGTTCTTGGAACTTATTTGCCATTGCCTTTCTGTGCCACTTCAACATCTTAATTGGCATTAGGTCTTGGTTATATGCAGCTTCCTAAAATGGGTCAGTGTTGATCACCTCTTTTTGGTTAAGTAACTCTGTATTCTTTCTATTTGCTTTTGGTACTTATTTTGCCCATAGAATCCTTCAGTGTTGCAGCCTTTATTCCTCCGGCCATTTATCTTGACATTTATAGTGTGTGTGCTCCCAGTTTGGTTTTCTACCTCCAAGTATTTATGCATCTTGTTATACTTTACTTTGTCTTCTCAAGCTACCCTTTGGAATCTTCTGTTCACTTGTTTTTATTAATTTTAAAAATTGGTTTTCATAGAATCATTCATATGTTATGTTTTATAACTGTTCACCTTTCTTATTTAAGAATTTCTGCCTTTTGTTTTAGAGCAAGTTTCAACATATTTTCAGACATCTGTTTTCGTATTTTTTTTCTCTCCTGTCTTTTTAAACTTTTACTTTCTTTACCTATGAAGTCTTTACTCAGGCCACACTCCTAATTTCCTGCAATCATTAGTGTTCAGTGCATCAAATCTGTTCATGAAATGGTATTTAAGTTTTGGTGGGATAAACTCAAGGTCATGTTTTTACTCTCATTGACTTGTTTTCATTTTCTTCAGCTTCAGTTTGAACATGCTTATAAGCTAGTGGTGGTCTCATCGGTAGTTGGCCTCTGGCCTTATTCTGACTGATGATACTGAGCTCTTTAAATATCCCTTTCCATGGATGTAGTCAGTTTGATTTTTGTGTATTTCATCAGGTGAGGTCCATGTATATTCACTATTTTTTGTTGTGTTTTTTTTTAAAAAAAATATTAGCAATAAATAAATCTAGGGTTTTTTTTGTTCAAAATTCTGCTTTTCAAGCTCCAGATTCATTTTTGTACTTAAAGCCCAATTTTCCAAATACCAGCTCTTTTTTGTTTCCAACTCTGTATTCTTGTCATTGATTATTATGAATACATCTTGATTGCATGTTCAGTCTGTTTTAGAGTACAGAATTGATTGTTGTTTTTAGGGGCCATTGAGTTGATTGATCCATTAAATATATGACGTTGGGAAATCCCATGATTATACATAGCATATTGCTTTTGACACTGCCTGGTCAAATGATTTTAAAAAAATGTGATTTTGGATGAAATACTATTTATATAGAGTTTCTTTGTAATCCATGAACCTATTGAAAGATGTTTCTGGAATTTACTTCACACAGATGAATCCTTTTTAGTCCTTTGTTGCTTCTCCAAATACTCTTAAGGGAAGAATAATTTCATAGGATCCATGTAATGAAAATAGTTGACAAGAAGAGACAAAGATATAAGATCTATTTAGATTAATGGAAAGGACCAAATTATATTTCCTATATATAAAATTTTATTTGTAATATAATATTTTTTTTCCAAAATTTTATTATTTTTTGTGTGTGTACCATCAAATCAGATCTGACTGGTACAGGAGGAGATTGCCCCTCCTTCTCCAGCAGAGCATCTGGTGGATATAATATTTTTATAAAACTTTGCATTTATATAATTGTTCCAGTTCAGACATGAGAAAACAATGGCATAATTACAGAAACAAACAAAAAAATTCCAAGTTATTAGCAACAAAAAGATGGGATAGTAATTAATAATCTGAATTCGTTTTATGATGTATAATGTGATTGGTTATGTTTTCTGCAGCTATTTAATGAGAAATAATTATATATTGTTTTTCTCCCCACACAAGAATCTCTCACAGTTGAGGACTGCGTGGTTAATATAGATCTGAATCTGGCTAAAGTGATTCATGAGAAATGGAAAGAATCTATAATGGTTGGTAGACTTTTTTATCTTTTTTTTTTTAATTAGTTTTGTGCTGTCACTTATATTTTGTTGTATAGCATTAATTACAATTCTGCAATGTCATTATGCCTTATTGACCCCTCCCTTTCTCTTTTCTCTACTCATCCATCCGCTAATCTCTGCTCCCTCTCCCTCCTCTCTCTTTCCTGTCAGCTCTTCAGTTTGCTCCTATGTGCAAACCTTGACCTTTCCTCCACCACCTCCCAGTCGATCTTTTATGCGTCTTGTTCTAGATTGTTAAATACAGTACACATTGTTAACTGCACTACACATAGTATCTGATTGTCCATTCCTTTCAGATTGACCTTCCCTTCATTTATTCTAATACAGATTAATTATCTATTGTAACTCTCCTATGTATGTAACAGTGATGTTATATAGTATTTATCCTTCTGTGAATAAGTTATTTTTCAGCATAGTGATCTCTAGACTTCTCCATGTTGTGTAGTATTTAATGAGTTTTTTTGTTATTTTTCAGTGCTTCATAATATTCCCTTTTAAGAATGTACCACAGTTTTACTATCCATTCACTTATTGATAGGCATTGGGCTGCTTCTTTCCTCTATTGTGAATAATACTGCTGTAAACATGAATATGCTTATCTGTTTATGTTGCAGCTCTGATTTATTTAGGGTACATTCGCAGTAGTCGAATAGCTGGATCACACAATGATATTTTTATTGTAAACTTTTTGAGGAATCACCAGACTGCCTTCCATAGTCTTGTGCCATTTTACATTCTCACCAGCAGTGCATGAGAATTACAATCTTCCCACATTCTCACCAACAGTTGTTTGCAAGTCTGTTGAACCTCACTCTTGTTGCTGGAGTGAGATGATGTCTTATTGTTTTGATTTGCATGTTTTTAATGACTAAGGATTTGGAGCATTTCTTCATATGTTTATTGGCTATCTGAATGTCTTCTTTGATTAAGAGTCTTATCTCTGCTCTTATTGAAACAAAATCTTTCTTTAATACTGGTTTACTTACAAAGTTCATATACACTGTTTTCACACCAGATCTTTTCCATTTCCTTTACCCTCTCCTCCCTCCACCCATCAAATTGTGCAACATTATGATTAACCACCCCCACCCTGTCCAGATCTCAGATGCATAGCAAGTGATCTGGTAGACTTAATAAGAGCTTCTTTTATATCTGTTTTGTTATTTTTGCCCTTATGTAAAATCTATGTTATGTGAAAGAATTGTCAAATTTTGATTTTGAGAGACAATGGGCTAAAATCAGCTAGCAAATTGCTGCTTTCCACCTCTGTTCCCCTCCTTCTAGTATTTTGTTACTCTCAGATTAGTCAAATAATGTAATTATTGGTGAACTCTGTGATGATTCTTTGTTGTTTTTTTAAAAATTGTTGTTTTTTTTTAAATAAAAAACTAACAGTGATTTGCTTTTTTTTAACTTTAAAGACTACAATGCTGATTGGTTCAATCTCAAAACTTCTAAAATATAGATCTGTATTATAAGTAGAGAAATTATGTTGATATAGTCATATAAAAAAATCTAGTTTTGTTGTTTTAATTTGATTTATACTACAAATGGTTTATAGCTTTGTAAGGAGAAATAATTTCCAAAGAAAAACAATATAACTTTCTTTACTAATGTTACTTTTGCCTGTCTGACCTTTTTGCATTTCTGTTTAGGAGAGACAATGCCAACAAGAAATTGCCTGTGGTCAGCTTGTGCCAGGTAAAAATACACAGTTTAAACTTCTTAAGTTAAAAACCCTGAGAGTCTGCATGTGTATTTGTGTATTTCAATTCTCCTAAATATGCCTTCATAAAATACTTAAATTTCTGATTCCAGGTATTTAGAATTTCATAAAATACAAGAACTTTTTTATTATTATTATT